TGTGTTTGCAACTGCAAAGCCAGAAAGCATGTCAGACGAAGAGTGGGACTTTGAACACCAACAAGTTTGTGGTTATATTCGCCAATATGTTGAAGATAATGTTATGAATCACATTATCAACGAGACACATGCCAGAAGCCTGTGGGATAAACTTGAGACCCTGTATGCTTCTAAGACGGGCAATAACAAATTGTTTTTGCTAAAACAATTGATGAATCTAAGATTCAGGGAAGGTACATTGATCAATGATCATGTCAATGATTTTCAGGGTGTTCTTGATCAGTTGTCTAGCATGGGCATTAAATTTGAGGATGAGGTACTTGGTCTCTGGTTGCTTAACACTCTACCTGATTCTTGGGAAACAATTCGGGTTTCTTTGACCAATTCTGCTCCCAACGGTGTTGTGACCATGGAGTATGTCAAGAGTGGTATCTTGAATGAAGAGTCAAGAAGAAGATCTCAAGACACCTCCACTTCTCAGTCAGATATTTTGGTTACAAATGATAGGGGGAGAAACAAACAAATGGGTCAGAAGGGTAGAGATAAAAGCAGAAGTAAGTCAAGGTCATGGCACAAGCTAAGGATGTTGAATGTTATCATTGTGGCAAGAAGGGTCACATCAAGAAAAATTGCTTCAAGTTGAAAAGGGAACAGAAGCAAGACAAGAAAGATGATCACATAGAGAACCAGGTTGCAATAGTTAGAGCAAATTTGCTTCTTGCTTGTGATGAGAACGCCGTCAACGTTGCATGCCATGAGACAACTTGGATTGTAGATTCAGGCGCATCTTACCATGTTACACCAAGGAAGGAATTCTTTACTTCATATACTCCAGGTGACTTTGGAGAGCTAAGAATGGGTGATGATGGTCAGGTGAAGGTGATTGGTACCGGTACAGTTTGTCTTGAGACCAGCAATGGCACAAAGCTGGAACTTAAAAATGTAAAGCATGCACCGGGTATCAGACTGAATCTCATTTCTACAGGAAAACTCGATGATGATGGTTTTTGTTGTTTCTTTGGTGATGGACATTGGAAAATCACTAAAGGCTCGCTGGTTATTGCACGAGGTAACAAGTCTTCTAACTTGTACTCTTTACAAAGCTCTGTTTCTGGTGATTCAGTGAATGTGGCAGCAAAAGAATGTGCATCAGAATTGTGGCATAAACGACTTGGCCACATGAGTGTGAAGGGGATTGATTACCTTGCCAAGAAGAAGAAGCTTTCAGGAGTAAAGGAAGCTAGATTGGACAGATGTGTTCATTGCCTGGCAGGGAAACAGAAAAGAGTTTCTTTTATGAGCAATTCTCCTTCGAAGAAGCCGGAGCCTCTTGAGTTGATACATTCTGATGTGTGTGGACCAATGAAGGTTAGATCACTTGGAGGTGCATCTTACTTTGTGACCTTCATTGATGATTATTCTAGGAAACTCTGGGTTTACACTTTGAAGCACAAAAGTGATGTGCTTGGTGTGTTTAAAGAGTTTCATGCCCTTGTTGAGAGACAGACAGGGAAGAAATTGAAGTTCATCCGTACTGATAATGGCGGTGAGTACCATGGCCCATTTGATGAGTATTGCAGAATGCACGGTATTAGACATCAGAAAACTCCTCCTAAAAATCCTCAATTAAATGGCTTAGCAGAGAGGATGAATCGGACAATTATGGAGAGAGTCAGATGTATGCTTGATGACGCAAAGTTGCCTAGTTCTTTTTGGGCAGAGGCAGTTTCCACAGCTGTTCATGTTATCAACTTATCTCCCGTTATTGCTTTGAATAATGAAGTTCCTGATAAGGTTTGGTGTGGAAAGGAAGTTTCTTATAATCACCTCAGAGTCTTCGGTTGTAAGGCATTTGTGCATGTCCCAAGAGATGAAAGATCTAAGTTGGATTTGAAGACTAGACAGTGCATTTTCATTGGTTATGGTCTTGATGAATTTGGCTACAAGCTGTATGATCCAGTTGAGAAGAAGCTTGTGAGAAGCCGTGATGTAGTGTTCTTTGAAGATCAAACCATTGAAGATGTTGACAATGTGAGAAAGCCAGAATCTCAAGACAGCGAAAGTTTGGTTGAATGTGAGCCAGTTTATAGCAAAGATACACATGATGCTGATGAGGTTCAAGAGAATGGCCAGAACGGTGATCTTGTACCAGACAATTAGGATGATACAACTGATGTGGATGGTCATGTTGATGATGTTGTGCACCAGGAACAAGAAGTTCCTTCGCAGGTTCCAGTTGATCCTCTTAGAAGGTCTAACAGGGAACGGAGACCATCTACTCGTTACTCTTCCAGTCAGTATGTGCTATTGACCGATGGGGGAGAACCTGAGTTCTATGAAGAAGCTATGGAGAGTGAGCAAAAGAGACAATGGTTTGAGGCTATGCAGGATGAGATGAATTCCCTATATGCAAATGATACCTTTGAGTTGGTAAGGGCACCAAAGAACAGGAAAGCTTTGAAGAACAGGTGGGTCTACAGATTGAAACATGAAGAGGGCACATCAGTTCCACGATTCAAAGCTCGACTGGTGGTGAAAGGTTTTAGCCAGAAGAAAGGTATTGATTTTGATGAAATTTTCTCTCCTGTTGTGAAATTTTCATCCATTAGAGTTGTGTTGGGTCTAGCAGCTCGTTTGGATTTAGAAATTGAGCAGATGGATGTGAAGACAGCTTTTCTCCACGGTGATTTAGATGAGGAGATATATATGGAGCAACCTGAGGGATTCAAAGTCAAAGGGAAAGAGGATTATGTTTGCAGGTTAAAGAAGAGTTTGTATGGATTGAAGCAAGCTCCGAGGCAGTGGTATAAAAAGTTTACTTCCGTTATGAGTAAGCATGGGTATAAGAAGACTTCTTCAGACCACTGTGCTTTTGTAAACAGATTCTCTGATGATGACTTTGTTATATTGTTGCTTTATGTTGATGATATGTTGATTGTTGGTCGCAATGTTTCAAGAATTCAACAGTTGAAACAGGAGTTGAGTAAGTCATTTTCTATGAAGGACATGGGACTAGCAAAGCAAATTCTTGGGATGAAGATCATTCGTGACAGGCAAAACAAGAAGTTGTGGTTATCTCAAGAGAAGTATATAGAGAAAGTACTTGAGAGATTTAGTATGGATAAAGCTAAGCCAGTGAATACACCTCTTGGTATGCATTTCAAGTTAAGTAAGAAGCAATGTGCCTCTAGTGAGAAAGAGAATGAAGAAATGCAAAGAGTTCCCTATTCTTCAGCTGTTGGTAGTTCGATGTATGCCATGGTATGTACGAGACCAGATATTGCTCATGCAGTGGGTGTTGTTAGCAGATTTCTCTCAAATTCAGGGAGAGAACATTGGGATGCTGTGAAGTGGGTTCTGAGATATCTTCGGGGTACTTCAAGTCTGAGTTTGTGTTTTGGTACAGAGAAACCTATTCTTGCTGGGTACACTGATTCAGATATGGCTGGGGACATTGACACCAGGAAATCTACTTTAGGTTATCTAATTACCTATGCAGGGGGAGCAGTTTCATGGCAATCAAGATTGCAAAAGTGTGTTGCTTTGTCTATCACTGAAGCTGAGTTCATAGCATCTGTTGAGGCCAGTAAAGAAATGCTATGGATGAAAAAGTTTGTTCAGGAGCTCGGGTTTGTTCAAGACAGGTATGTGCTCTATTGTGATAGTTAAAGTGCAGTTCATCTTGCAAAGAACTCCACGTTCCATTACAGGTCAAAACATATTGACACAAGATATCATTGGATTAGAGATATCTTGGAGTGCAAGATGCTTGAACTTGAAAAGATTCATACTGATGATAATGGGTCTGACATGATGACTAAAGCTTTGCCAAGAGGGAAGTTTGAGGATTGTTGCTCTATCGCCGGGATGGCGATATCTTCCACATAGTCGGGAGGGGGAGATTTGTTGGGTTGGGCTTCCATCCTATGTGGTAAATAGCTCATGTTTGGACCAAGCCAATTTGTATCCACTATTTTTTTTGTTGGACCTCCACTCATCTTGAGCCCTAATTATTATTACTATTATATATTTATATATAATATATAATTTGGAATATTGAATTAAGGAATATATATGTTTATGGAGAATTGGAAACAAGGTGAGGTGGCAGCATCTTGTGAAAAGGAAACCAAATTTATTTCTTTTGGCTAAGTTGAGAAAAAGGAAACAACTTTCCTTTGTTTGGATGCATTCTCCCATATATATATGTTCGGTAGTGGAAGAAGCAATAGCTAGCGTGCTGCGAACCTTTTTGCTTCATCTTTCATTATTCTGTTCGGCAGACAGAGAGAGGAGAAGAGTGGTGAGATTTGCCAACTTCTTGAGTATTTTCTTCATCAAATATTTTGGAGGTCAGCTTATTTGTTCCAGGCATCATTTTTGAGTAATCTCATAATATTTGTATTCTTTTCATCTCTTGTAGTGATTGAATACTTTGAGTATGAGATATTATTCCTTTTAGGCCTGTGAACGTGATAGAATGTATTTGGCTTAGAATTGTGGTATTTGATGATTTGTGGATGTTTGGCTCGTGTGGTAGCCTGAAACTTTGTACCCAAGATTTATTATAGTGGATTATTTGGTTGGTGGTGGTCCCGTGGTTTTTTCCCGATTTGGGGTTTTCCACGTAAATCTTATGTCCCTTATATTCATATTTATTTTTGGCTGTTTTGTATCCTCTCGTATTTGTGCACTGTGTCGGGTCTGTGTTTTTCATTGTCACAGGAAGTGGAATTTTCCCAACAATGTGTTAGTGTGGCCACTACATACTCGGGTCTTGGATCAAGCAATTAATCCATTTGATTGGTTATAAGTTTACAGCTTAACCAACTTAGATGGGGTTGTCTCGATACTGTTTTCTTTTGTACTGTTCTAGGGGTTGATTGCTTTAGGGTACTTATGGATACGGTCCATAACTTGTTTTCTATGTAGCACGGGAACATAAGAAAATGGGTAATGGAAAGAAGAAATGAAGAAATATTGGTAATGCTACTCGCTGCACTGTCCAATGCCATGCCATGATATACATACTCTCAACATCGTTGCATTGTGTCTACAAAACTAATTAATTCCCAGCAGCAAAATCTGTACAAACAAACTTCACTTCTCTTAAGAAACAAAACAGATTTATGAGAAATTGAGAATTTAAATTGAATAAATAAAAATTCTTTTCCCATGTAATGGCATTATGGCAGCACCATCCATCAGATTTCTGAGAACGAATTATATTGCTCGCAGAGACCATTTCAGCTCACCGCTATGCACATTCAAATTCTCTGGAAACAATAAATTATTATTCAGTAAAAAGAAAAGGAGAACACAGTTAGATAGATATGGAAATATGAGATAGAAGTGAGAGAAAACAGATCAGATAGATGATTATCCATTGAAACCACAGCCATGAAAAATTCAAGTAGTATGAAGTGCATGTTAAATGATGAGAGTCGAGATATATCAAAGCAGAGGGATAGAAAGAGACCATAATATTTTCGGAATGAACAAGGAGAGCACCATTTCCATAGTTGTTGTTTTGCTCTTCTTGAATCCACTTTGCAGAAGCCACAAGGGAATCCCTACATTTGCTTAACTGAATCAATACTAGTGTGGTAATATCGGCAAAATCACGAGGGATTTCTTCCAACCAATAGCAATTACTTATCTCTAAACACTCGAGCACAGGGAAATGGTCACTCACAGCATTCCAATATTGGAGACTTGAGATTTTAATTACCAACCTCTTCAATCTATGGAACCCTCCATCAGATGGCTCCCACTTTTTGCCTATGCAAGCATTTATCAATTTTAGAACCTCCAGATTAGGCAACATACTAATAAGGCTCAAGCTACTCCACCACAGATTAGACTCCAAAAGGTTGAGCTTCTTAATATTTGGTAGAAAATTAATTGCCCATGGGATGCTACCGCGGATAAGTTTTTGACACCTTCTGATGCTTAGTTTCTCAAGCTGCTTCAAGTTCTCAAAATTATAAAAACAATCTAGATTAATTTCATAGTATCCACCATCCACTCCCAATTTTTTTAAACTCGGAATCATGGTAAACAAATCCTTTTTACATAACTTATAATCCAATCAAGATATATTCTCTAAGTTTTTGTAAATAGCCACCGGAGTTTCTAATGAAGAAATTTGTCCAATGCAAAAATTCCTTAATTGTGGCATTTTCCAAATTCTAAATGACTCAGACGAATCCAATGTAACACCATCCCCACGAACAATAAAACTTTGCATATTCCAATGCTCAAAGAGCTTTACCTTAAAAGTCTTATATGTGGACAAAGCTAAGTATCTCAAATGAACAAGATTTGCAAACACATTTCGTGGCATACCTCCATCGAAAAGTTCACCTTCTATGTCTACTACTCTTAGTAGTTTCATGTGTGAAAATACATGTGTCACTTCTGTAATTGAGTAACAACTGCCCAAGTGTAAGGAATGTGATTTCTCAAACCGCTTAAACTTGATTTGATTGTTGAGAAATACTGGTCTAGCACTTACCCAACGACAAGGTTTTGAAAACTGGTGTTGTGATATCATCCTCTTATTAAATGAAAATTCTTTATCTGCAATAATGGCATTTAAGAGATTTTCATGTCCAGCTTCTTTCAAGCACAAGTCTCGCAACATATCATGTATCCTTATTCTCTTCATTTCCCTATTATAGCTCTGTTTGCTAACTATAACAAGACTTCTATCAACAAGATCTTGCAAGCATTCCATGGCCACTTCCTCCATATTCACAGGCTTCATTGCCCTCAAAAATCCCTCCGCCGCCCACAACCTAACCAATTTCTTCACAGGGATCTCATAATCTTCCCGAAAAACTCCAAAATATAGAAAACAAGCTTTTAAGTGGTGTGGTAATTGGTTGTAACTAAGATATAGTATTCTAGAACAAGCATCATTAGAATCACCAATTACACTTTTTGCAACATTCTTCCACTTTTCCTCCTCCTCCTCTGTCTTGGAGAGAAGACTAGCTATTACAGTAATAGCTAGAGGTAATCCTTCACATTTCTTCACTATGTCTCTACCAATTTGCTCAAACACTAAAAGGAATTCAGTTTTACCAAACACTTTGCAGTAGAGATTCCAACTTTCATCGGCATCTAAGAAAGGCATGTTAAGGGGAGAGTTACCTGAGCTCGCATATTCAGCTACCTCTCTTAGCCGAGAAGTCAACAGTATACGACTTCCATTATTATCATCTGGAAAGCATCTTTGCAAACTATCCCAAGCAGTTGTGCTCCATATATCATCTATCACTATCAAATATCTCTGTTCCATCAAGAGTTTACGTAGATGTTCAGCTAATTGGTCTTGGTCAGTGCTCTGTTTATGCAGTTCATCTCTTGATGTTGTTGCAATAACACAACCAATAAGACATCGGAGCATTTGTTCGATGTTATACTCCTGGGAAACCGTAACCCATGCTTGCATGTAAAAATGACAAGTAATTGCTGGATCTGTATAAATATTCTGGGCTAAAGTGGTCTTGCCTATTCCTCCCATGCCAACAATAGAAACAACATGTCTCCCCTTAGTTGATTGGTGCGTGAGCTTATTCAATATCGTGTTGAGCAGCTCATGGCATCCGACCATTCTACTGTCCAACTTTGAAGAGTTTCTAGAAAATTTGCTCCTCACAATAATGTTCTTGTGTGATAATCCTCCTTTCACAAGCAGTAGTCCTCTTCGTAGGATCCGACCAAGAAGTGAAACATCAGGGATTCTTTGGTTTTGTGATGAAGCCTTTGCAAGCTTGTATTCAGCTTGTATCCTGATCAACTCATTCCTATGGTAATCAGTCTGTTTTCCTGCTTCATTTAAGATTTGATGAAGCCTGAGCAGGCAAGCTGTTATATGAAGAAGATTATCCTTTGCTAGATAAATGGTAGTCAACTCCATCTCAATCCTTTCTTCAGCTTTGAACAATACATCTCTCATCTCTGCCTCTAAATCTTTCATCGCCCTCCCACTGGCAATCTCAGTTTTCTGAAGAATGTCTTGCAGCAAGCCAAGATTTTCATGGAGAGAGACCATCTTTTGTTTGACTTCACCCAACTCTCTAAGCCGAGAACTCAAGAGTACACTATCCCAAGCTAAAGCTTTAGTGCTTCTTACGTCAGTGATTCTGATCATCAATTGATCTTTCATCGCCATATCCTCAAGAATTTGTTGCAGCAAGCCCAGATTTTCATTGCCATCATCTCTCATCTGTGCCTCTAAATCTTCAAGGGGCAAGCGTGGCTGTAATTGCAAGAAATGTAAATCTATTGTTTCCATTAGAGAAGTTACAGCAGCGTAAGCCATTTGTGTGGTCTCTCTGATCTGGTAAGGTAATCAGAGCAGTACTAAGAAGACATGATCGAAAGAAAGATATGATACAATTTGTTAGTCAACGCTAAAATCTTGTTAGCTGGAATTCAAGATAAGGGAAGGGAATTGAAGGATAGTACCGTTGTATAATGAGTGGCTAGTACTCAACGTATTTTTTTTTTTTGGGAGTAAGGTTAAATATAATAGGCCTCAATTACAAATTAAACTGCATTTAGCCTATCGAACTCAAAAAAATATATATAATTACATCTCTAAATAACACAAACTCGTGCAATTCAATCCAAAATAACCTCTGAGTGTAAAATATGTTACACATAAAACCCAATTTTAGTTGGCATTATTAGTTGTCAAAATTCTAGTTGTTATTAGGCTTTGGATCTAGTCCGGTCTCTGTATCAGCACACTCCGCCAGGATTAGTGTCAGGGCCGTATTTTAAGTTTTTGTGGCCCTGTTCTAATAAATAAATGTGGCCCTACCGAAATAACAATTTTTAAAATCAATATATGCAAGTTTTGAACCTTTGACCACCAAGCTGAAATACAATAAATACACATTTTTACCATCTCTTCATAGAACCTTTTAAATTCAATTGAAAACTTTTAGTTTTTATTTCGAAACTAGCTAGGTAAAAATTAAATATTAAACCTCTAAAATTTGGGGCCCCTTTAAAATTGGGGGCCATGTGCGATAGCCCAGCTTGCACAGCCTAAAATCCGACCCTGGTGTCAGGATACAGTCCAGTCCAGGAAGGATGAAACTCATTCAAGCATTCAAATTGGTCAAGACCCTATTTCCATTATCTTCTAAATCTGGTGATGCAGCTTAATTTGAGAATTTGAAGGCTGCACTTTTTCAGACCAAGAGGTTTTAAATTTACCGCTATAAAATGCTACTTTGAGTAATGCATTTTTCGAAGATTGAAGAATTAAACTTTATCAAATATTTCTCAAATCCTCCTCTGATTTTTTTTTTCCTATCAATATAGTCGTGTGATGAAGGCTCCTCAACTGGTTCATGTTGTGTTGAAGATGGCTTATACGTCTAGTCCATCGTGATGATTAAGGCTACGCTGGAGTAGGTGTTGGAGTATTATAGTAGTTTATGCTTTAGTGTTTAATGTACTCTCCCTTGTACTCCTTGTTGATCATCTAGTGGATTGGGCTGATGTGAGTGGCCCCGCAGACGTAGGAGTGCGGCTCTGAACTGCTTGAACATTTCTTGGTGTTTGGTTCCATTTATATTTCCTGTTTCTTGTTCTTTATTATTTCTGGCGTAGATCCTAGAGCTAGTCCAGTTTAATAACTGAACCTAAAAGTTAGTATGAACCGATAGGATATAGCTTGCATTCAAGATCTACAATCTCTTTCAACCTGTTTACTTGGAAACATGTTGACGTGGTCATTACAATTTTAAAAAAAAAAATTAAATAAAATAGTTATTCAAAATTAAAACTAAAATTTTTTAAATAAAAGCCCATTCGTGTCCGGTGGAGACGAATGGACCGACTTCGTCTACCTGGCCATGGAGACAGTCGGAGACGAAACCACCTTCATCTCCTGGCCATAGAGACAAAGCCAACTTCATCTTTGTCTTTATGGCTTGGAGACGAAGGGGCCAACTTCGTTTCAGGCCGACTCCTTAGCTATGGAGACGGGCGGGGACAAAGCCAACCCCTTCATCTCCGGCAGTGGAGACGAAGGTGGCATTGTCTCCATGGCCAGGGAGACAAAGCCGGTCGTTTTTTTTTTACAAAATAATTAATAATTTTATTTAAAATTATTTTTAAATTTGGTAACCGTCATGCTAGCATCTTTCTAGTTAAATAAGTCATTTTTGGTTGAATTGCATGTGTTGTTTAATAACTCAATTGCATTTTTTAAAATTTAATGACCCAATTGTAATTTGGTGTGCAATTGAGTAACCTATTTGATCCTTACTCAGGGATGGAGCCAAAGGGTGGGCAGGGGGGCAGCTGCCCCCCCCCCCCCCCCCCCACACCACCCCCACCCCATATATATATATATATAATCTTTGTATGTATATATAGTACAAGTTTTAGTATTAGTATAAAAAATATTAAATGTAAACAAAAAATGAGTTAGATTAGTTAGTAGAGCATATGTTTGGTAATAGTAAAGGTCAAGGGTACGAATATTTAACACACACACACACATATATATATAACATTCTTTTATATTAATAGTGAGATGTGTAATTTATAATGTGTTTTCAATTCAAATTATTTTATCAAATTAATTATGTTTTATATTTTTTTATGAATATTTTTATAAAGTTTGGTTGTGTTTTATTTTTCGCTCATATCCAACAATATTTACAACTATATTTCTTAGGTAATTTTTTTTTTAAATTATCTCTTTTGTTTTAATGTTTCGCTTTTACTGAAAAAATTTTCTGAATTCGTCCCTACTTCTTCGTCCCCCTCAACCGAATTTCTCGCTCCGTCCCTATCCTTACTCCTCTATTTTTTTTTCAACTATGGAGTACAAAAATTTCTACTCATAGATAGTGTTTATTATATATCTATCTAACATTAAATGTTGTAAATTTTATTTCATTTCATTTTTTTGGGTCAGACCACAAGGTGTCCTGAGCGGACTTTAAGGCACCTTTAAACTCATACCATACTCAGACTAATCTCCGTTCGCACCAGGCCAACCCATTAAGGGACAAAATGCTGGTCAGATTGATTTTTTCCATACGTGAGTGGGTTCAATTTGAACTCCTAACCTCTCTTAAGGGACGAAAATACACAACACCCATACCAACCACACTGGTTATTTCATTTCATTTAATACATATATCATTTATGTATATATACTTATGGATATATTACGAATGAAGTTGGGCCGACCCGAAAAGATGGAATCCAGGGGATCCAAGCAGACCCAGGGCTACGGGGTTGAGCCATGCGCACAACCCGGACCGCCTCAGCATGGGGCCTTGGCAGCCGACATCAGCACCTCAGCAGCAGGCCTCGGCAGCCGAGCTCAGCATGAGACCTCAGGAGCCCGCCTCGGCCTCGGCAGCTAACCTCGGCACAAGGCCTCGGCCGTGTTGCCCGGTCTTCGGACCAGGCTCGATCAAAGCGGGGTACAACCGCTCCCCTCGATTTAGGCGGATAGTTAGGACTTAGGAGGTCCGTAGCTTGTATAAAAGGCCCCTCCTTTGTATGATGAAGACACGTTCACTACTTTCGTTACTCTTGTCCTAATCAAGCCTTGTAATAGCTTATTAGCGATATTTAATACAATATACGGTCCCCGCAACCTTGCAACGACATCGTTCTATCCTTTTACTATTTACGTTCTTAACCGAATTTGATAATTCGGGTCCACCCCGGGTAATTAAATCCATCATTGGTGCTCTTGATGAGAGCTGTTGTACCAGCTCAAACATGTTCTTTATTCTTTGATCTACCATGATCAGTTACCATGGCAATATCAAGATCCAACTCTCGCCACACCAACGGTTCCATACACGTAGCGGAAACATCAATCACTTTTTCTAAATTCTACATTAAAAGAGAGAGTTGCATGATCTTACCCTTGAAGCATGCTTTGACATATGCAAATCCTAAACCATCCAATTGTATGACCTCTGCTCTATCCCCCGTTTAGGCACGCGAGAACTCCCAAAGATTTTAAGTGAAAACTATTTTCTTTCTAAAATCCCCTTTTTCACTTCTTACAAGGGTAAGGCTATTTATATAGTGTGATTTGGGCCCAAAGCTACTAGCCTTTAAAAGCTCAAAACTACTTAATTCATTAATCAGCTATTAATGTATTAATTCAATATTATTGATGATTCTTTATCAATTTCATTTAATGTTCTCAGCATTACCACGAACCATTAAGGTGTGACTTTCTAGGTTCATAGACAAAATAGCAACGAGTAATATTTAATAACTCATTATTAAATAATTCGTAAATCATGGGTGACTACTAACAGTATTTCATGACTACCTAGTTGAAAATGAATATATTTAAATATATTATAATGACCTTTCCGTTACAAATATCATGCAACATTCCTTCCACACAACACTTGTTCTGAACCAAGTAAAGGTCATGGTCAAACTTGGTCAAACCCATAAACCTGGTCAATATGTCTATTCAATATTCTTAACCTGAAGTCTAACTTCATTATACTCTGGCCAGAGATCCTCGTTGTATGATTATTGAATAGACTAGAACATCCTTGTTACCTCAAGGCGGTGGATCCTCTATTGAACGCACACATGTCTCCGTACAATACTGAACTAGGCCACCAAGTATACTTACAGTCCAATAAGGAACAAAAGACGCATACTGGCAAAAACTAGTCCGCCATATGTCTGAGACAACCATGTCGTCTCAAGTCAAAGGACTATTGCATAAACATACCGATGACACGTAGGTAAACACCATGCGGTACGTTGTAGTCAGTCATTGTTCAATGACTTGTTCTCTAACAATCATCCACATGTCCACTCTTAGAATATGATACAGAAGGACATGAGACTCACCATAAGAATGACAATGTGATAGTTTTATCGGAATTTTAATGCCCAATTAGAATTCCTATAACTACATTAGAATTCCTATAACTAGGAACATTTTTACAATATTTCATTTATTAATTCTTCGTCACTCATATGCTTAACTTTTAAGAATGAAGAATTAAAAAGATTGTACGGAATAATATCAAATAGGGAAAACTGTAAAAAATGCCCCTCTATAATATGCCAATTATCAATGTCACCCCTGAATTATGAGTGGTGTAAATGTTGCCCCTCAATTATCAAAATGGTGCACATATAGCCCCTCCCGTAACGGACCTGTGGTTCCCCACTGCTGTCCATCATTGGTACTTCGAATCGAGGGAGGGAAAAAACAACTAAATTACATATTTACTCCGACTTAACGATGTCGTACACTAACGGGGAACCACATGTCCGTTACGGGAGGGACTATATGTGCACCATTTTGATAATTGAGGGGCAACATTTACACCACTCATAATTTAGGGATGACATTGATAATTGAAATATTATAGAAGGACATTTTTTACAATTTTCCCAATCAAATATTAACAAAGTCAAAATAAAATGAATAAAACATCTATTCATTATATTTATTTTAATAAAAAATCAATATCCAAAACAATGAATGTTAGCACATACATGTATAACAACATCATCATAGGTGGTCTTATATTTATCAAGAATATAATGGCTGTGATTGCAAAAGGGCTTCAGAACTCAGAAGTTGTCTTCAAATTAAGCAAGTTCCATTTATACCCTTCACCAAATTAAAGGTTGAAATGAAGCAATCTTAGCTTGATTTTTGCATTATAAATGACTTAGATTTGCTCTGTTTTTAATATTTGTTTTCCTTTTTTAGTTTTTCTGTAGGGGTTGTATGGACAATATCCTCATCAAGCTAATATTTAAACCAAAAGATTAGTATTATTTTTAGTGTCAAATCTTAAGAAGCTCAGCTTATTGAAGTGTGTAATCTGCAATGGAGTAACCTGAGGCTTATTAGTATGTTGCCTAATTTGGAGGTTCTAAAATTGATAGATGCTTGCAGAGGCCTAAAGTGGGAGACGTCTGATGGAGGGTTCCGTGGACTATTGGAATGCTGTGGGTGACCATTTCCCTATGTTCAAATATTTAGAGATAAATGAGTGCCATTGGTTGGAAGAAATCCCTCGGTGGTTTTGCAGATATCACCACACTACTATTGATTAAGTTAAGCTATTGTTGGGATTCCCTTGTGGCTTCTGCAAAGTGGATTCAAGATGAGCAATGCAATAACTATGGAAATGAAGGCCTCCTTGTTCATTCTGAAAATATTAGGGTCTCTTTCTATCCCTCTAATATATCTATCTTTGACAATTTAGCATGCATTTCATGCTAGCTACTTAAATTTTCGATGGCTGATGCTTGCAATGGATAATCATCTATCTCATCTGTTTGCTCATATTTCCTTATCCATCTAACTGTGTTCACCTTTTCTTTTTACTGAATTTATTGTTTCCAGATCAGTGATGAATGAATAGCTGCAGTAGGTATGTTAGTTGTATGCGCACATATATCTGTTTATTTTTTGTCTCAAATTAAAGAAAAATGGATGAATTAAGCTTATTGCTGCTCTCCCTTATTGGAAATATATATAGAGGAAAGCCTGGAGAAATTGTTGGAAGACATGACAAATTTTGAATGTGGTTATATACAGGGCCGGCCCTGGGGCAAGGGCAGGCTGGGCCCTTGCCCAGGGCCCATGCTTGGAGAGGGCCCCATCCTATCTCTTATATATATAGTATATATGTATTGAGTATAAGTAATTTATATACATATGTTTTATAGTAAGGTGAATTAGCTTGGTTAGTAAAATACTTGAGTTTAACATCATTTAATCAAAGGCTGGTGTTCCAATCCTTCCCTTCGCAATTTAGAATTCCTCAACTTTACTTTTTGTTTATATTTTAAAAATTTATTTTTATTAATTTTTTGTGTTTAATAGGGAGTAGTATTTTTAATGTAGTTTTTAAATATATAAATTTTCATATATTTATACTAAACATATTATGAAAAAATTTTATATTAAATATATAATTTTTTATATTAAATTTTTAATGTAATTTTTAAATTTATAAATTTTTATATACTTATACTAAACATATTATGAAAAATTGAATTAAAAAAATTTCAATCAACTCATGTTAATCAAACAAGACATGTAAAAATAGGACGGAGGGGGTTATATGATATATTTTGAGATTGAATTATAAAAAAAATTAAAAGATAATTTACTCCGTACCTTTTTATGAATATATAACCAATATAATATAGAAGCTTCTATCATGTGTCATTGTATTCAAATTATTCTAAAAAAGTTTGAAATTTATCTATTTAAAAGAAAAAAGTATTTACAAAAATCATATAAATAATATAGAAGGTGTGTGATTTATAATATGCTTTATGTTCAAACTATTTTATCTATATATTTATGTTTCATATCTTTTTGCATTTTTATTGCGTTTTGAAATATTTTAATTTCTTACTCCTAGTCAAAAAAGATTTTTAGCTTCACATATGTTTGTAATTATTGTTTTATAAATTTTTAATAATAATTATTTTATTATTTATTAAGATAACAATGTTATTGTTTATAAGTTTACTCGATTTTAAATTATTTATTCATTTTTATAAATTATAATATTATTTATTTATGAAGGCTCTTATACGGTTATTTATTATTTTGCATTAAGTAAAGCACTTAGAATTTTTTTCATGATTATTATTGTGTATGTAAAATTGTTAAAAACTTGTTAATCTTATTTAAAGTTATTGATATTAATAATTTTTTCCTTATTAAATTTAAATTTTAGGCATGAAATATATATTTACCGGGGCCCATTTTTTTTATCCTGCCCCAGGCCTATAAAATGATAGGACCGACCCTGGTTATATACTGGTGATCTAGCTCTGCCGGGGATGCTGCATTGCTGCCATTGCATGGGAAAAGATGAAAATGAATTTATTCATTTAAAGTCTGTTACATGGGATTCCTCTGAGGCGTTTAGAATTTGAATAATGCCACTACTAAGGAATTTTTGTGTTTGAACAAATTCTTTCATTAGAAATTTTGTCAGTTGTTTATAGAACTTGAATAATGCCACTATTAAGGAATTTTTGTGTTGAACAAATTCTTTCATTAGAAATTTTGTCAGTTGTTTATAGAAACTTAAATTAGAGAATATATCTTGATTGGATCCTAAGCTTTGTACAAAAGATTTGTTTACAATGATTTTGAATTAGAGAATATATCTTGAAGTCCAAAATGTTTTTTATAATTTTTTGCACTTGGGTCAGCATGAGACACTAAGCATCAGAAGGTGGGATCATCTCAATTTGGTGAGTAGGGGCGGAGATGCCATTACAAATGCAAAAAATACCTATTAAGATATCATCTTTGAAAACATCTTCGTATTTGTACTTTATTTATTTTCCTTTGATTCTTCAAATCAAGAGCCAGCTGCGATGAACCCTCGAGCCCCCACAAAAAAGGCAAACAAAAATAAATAAATAAATAAAACTGATTGAGAAACTAACAAAAACTGAAATTAATCAACAATCTCAAACTCACTAGTTCACTAGTTTAAATTGTTTTTTTTAAAAAAAAAAAAAAAATAAAAATCATTTGGGCCTCATAATTATTTGTACATGATACACAAGTTTTAATTTGCAAACAGAGGACATGAAACACATTTGGGAAATCAGATGTGTTTGATGTAGGAATATGAAACCATCTTCTCCGTGACAAGCATTTCCAAATTCATTTTATGTAAATTCAATATATCTTTGCCATTTTAAAAGGAATTAGAAAATAACTTTTCATTTATCAAGGAGTTTGAGAAATATGTTTCATTTTTACAGTGAAAATCATTTGAGAAATATGTTTCTCATAGACCCAAGCATAAAAGGAGTTTTGACTATTTTTGTCCAATATTCGTTAAGTGTCTATTCCAGTTAATGTTCCATGTTGCCCAAGTATTGCAATTCTGACATTTTAAAATTGCAAAATTTGCAATTCTGTGTCAAATTGCAAAACTGTTTTTTAGGCTTTTAAATATTTATTATTATTATTATTAGTAAAATTATTTTACTAATAAAAAAATATTTTTTTATAAAGTACTGTGATAGTGGGACCATTTTTTTAGAAAGAGACCCTAATTAATCTGTTTGGGGTGAACAAAGGAGGACAGGGCATTTCCATAGTTGTTGGCTTGTTGCATTATTGCTCATCTTGAATCCACTTTGCAGAAGCCAGTAGGCGTAGGACAAGTAAATTCCATATAAAAGAAATACAAAATATGGTAGGGATTATGATAATGCAAAAGTTGTCCACTAATGCAGCTTTACTAAAAGTCTAAAACAATAATGTATGTTTGTCTTCTACTTTTCCAATTTTCTTTTGACAACAAAAGTGTCTGTACATTCTAATCGTTCATTTCTTCCTAATTAATTTGATCTTCCTCTTCCAGAGAGAGATAGAGAGAGAGAAGCAAATGGCTTACGCTGCTGTAACTTGGCTTATGGAAACACTGTCTCTACATTTCCTGCAATCACAACCACGTTTGCCTCTTGAAGATTTAGAGGCACAGATTAGAGATGGCAATGAAAATCATGGCTTGCTGCAACAAATTCCTGAAGCGTCATCAGTGTTGTGAAGTTGGAGCAGAAGGATTGAAGATAAAGAGGAAAAAAAGGGAATTGATTAACTACCAAAAAGGAAGCTCAACATGAGCTTATATACAGAGTACAGAGATAAGAAAGAAGCAGTTATAACTGCCAAAAGCGTCTACTAAAGACGTCTACCAAGCGCGTCTACGAAAGGTGTCTACCAAAGACGTCTATCAAACGCGTCTACCAAAGGCGTCTACCAAAGACGTCTACCAAGCGCGTCTTCTTCATTCTGTTGCTGCACTTGATGTTAAGCTGTCATTCTTATCTCCTGAGAGCCCCCCTCAAGCTGGATTGTATATGTTGAGCAATCCAAGCTTGGAAACATAGCTGTAGAAGGTGCTGGGACAGTGAGCCTTGGTGAGGATGTCTGCCAATTGATTTGCAGAGCTAACATGGAAGAGTTTGATAACTCCTTTGTGAGATTTCTCTCTGACTAGATGGCAGTCAATTTCAATGTGCTTCGTACGCTCGTGGAACACCGGATTCTCAGTTATTGCTATGGCAGATTTACTATCACAGTAGATAGCTGTAGGAATGGCAGGGTGCACTCCAAACTCAGCAAGCAAATAAAGCAACCATTGCACTTCACATGTAGTAGAAGCCAGAGCTCTATATTCTGCCTCTGAAGAAGACTTAGAAATGGTGGCTTGCTTCTTAGATTTCCATGAAATCAAAGCCTCTCCCAGGAAAACACAGAAACCTGTTACTGACTTCTTGGAATCAACACAAGCTCCCCAATCTGCATCAGAGAAAGCCTTCAACTGCAAGTCAGATGAAGCTGGAAAGAACAATCCTTGTCCAGGGGCACCCTTGATGTATCTCAATACCCTATGAGCTGCCTGTAGATGTAGATTAGTGGGACTGTCTAGAAATTGAGCCAGTTGTTGTGTGGCAAAACTGATGTCAGGTCTTGTGATGGTAAGATACAAGAGCTTGCCAACTAGCCTTCTGTATGGAGTAGTGTCATCAAGTAGATCTCCCTCATTTTTGCTGAGTTTATGAGAAGGAACTGTGGGGCTGTAAACAGGTTTAGAGTCACTGAAACCTGTTTCCTCTAATAGTTCAAGAGCATACTTCCTTTGTGACACTGCAACTCCTTTCTTTTGCCTTGCTATCTCCAAACCCAAAAAGTATTTTAAGGATCCTAGATCCTTGATCTGAAAACTGTCATTAAGCTGCCCCTTGATTTGTTTAATTAGATTCAAATCACTGCTGGCCACCACTATGTCATCAACATAAACCAATAGTGCCACAAAGGATGAGCCTTTACCTTTGGTAAACAAGGAATTATCTGGAACTGATTGCTTAAACCCCATTTTCTGCAAAGCAACACATAACTTGGTGTTCCATTGTCTGCTAGCCTGTTTTAGACCATACAAGGATTTGTTTAACTTACAGACTTGACCATCCTTTTGTCCTGCAACTCCAAGAGGGAGTTCCATGTACACATCTTCTTCCAAATCCCCATTAAGGAAGGCATTATTCACATCCATTTGATGAAGATGCCAACCCTTTGCAGCTGCTATAGCTAAGAGAGTCCTGATAGTGGTCATCTTGGCCACTGGACTAAAAGTGTCAAGATAGTCAATGCCAAGAGTTTGGGTGTATCCCTTAGCCACAAGCCTTGCTTTGTATCTGTCAATGGTTCCATCAGCCTTGTGCTTGATTTTGTACACCCATCTACATCCAATAGGCTTCTTAGATGGTGGCAGATCAACTAGAATCCAAGTCTGATTCTTTTGCAAAGCATCAATTTCTTCTTGCATAGCTTTTCTCCAACACTCATGTTTTGTTGCCTCCTTGTAGGATTTAGGTTCAGTAGTGCATGACACATTCATGATAAAGGACTGAAAGGATGGAGAGAGTTTATCATAGCCTACAACTGTGGAGATATCATGAGGAGATGTTCTTACCCCAGAAGTGTGACAAACATAGTCCTTCAAGTAGACAGGAACCTGCTTATGTCTAGTGGACTTTCTGGCAGGTTGTTGTTGTGGCCTTTGGGGAGAAGGACTGAATGTTTGTTCAGGTGGAGCATGGTTTGATTCTTCAACAGAAACTGTGTGCTCAGAATGGTGATGGTTGTGATTCTGTTCAGAGGTATGCTCAGGACTTCTATCAGACTGATAACAGATTTGTGGCTCATCAGAAACTGTGTTGTCAGTCAGGGCAGGAAGGATGATCTCAGAAAACTTGCTCTTCTCAGGATTATCAACAAGCTGAAAGGGGAAGATGTGCTCATAAAAGGACACATCTCTAGACATAAACACATGCTTGGAATGAAGATCATACAATTTGTAACCTTTAGTACCATTAGTGTATCCAAGAAAAACACACTTTCTAGCTCTTGGATCAAATTTTGACTTGGGACCCAAGGTGGCAGCATAAGCAAGGCAACCAAAAATTTTCAAGTGATGGTACTGTGGTGTCTTATGGAGGAGGACTTGATACGGTATCTGATTATTTATAGCATTAGAGGGCAGTCTATTTATAATGTAGGCTGCATGTAACACACACTCTCCCCAAAAATATTCTGGTAAGTTGGCCTGAAACCTCAGTGCCCTAGCAGTAGACAAAAGATGTCCATGCTTCCTTTCAACCCTGCTATTTTGTTGTGGGGTGTAGGTACAGGAAGTCTGATGAAGTATCCCTTTTTGGTTAAAGAACTCAGCCATATCAAATTCTAATCCATTGTCTGTTCTAATGCACTTAACATGTGACTCAAACTGGATCTCAACCATACTGCAGAAACTTCTAATCAGATCTCTAGTTTCAGACTTTCTCTTCATCAAGTAGACCCATACTGCCCTACTATGATCATCTAGTATAGTAAGAAAGTATTGATGCCCCTGAAGAGAAGCAACTCTGTAGGGTCCCCAAATATCCATATGTAACAAGTCAAAGCAGGCAGCGGAAATAGAGTCACTAGAACAGAAAGGCATTCTCTTTTGCTTAGCAAAATGACAAGACTCACAAACCAGATCTTTATTCATGTAAATTGTGGGATCCACCTTATTCAAACATTGTAGCTTAGAATAGGAAGCATGCCCTAATCTATCATGCCACAAAGCACATTTATTCATACTTGAACTAACAGTGTGTACAGAAATGGAACTAGCAGGAAAAACCAAATAGTACAGCCCATTCTGAAGTTCAGCTTTTCCAATCATCTTCCCATGGACAGCATCCTGTATTATGCACTGGTTATTATGTAACTTCATGGTGCAATTGGAACCCTTAATGAAAGCCCCCACAGAAATCAAATTATAATAGAATCCAGGAATATATAAAGCATTGTGCAGAGTGAACTCATCAGATAAATGAACATTTCCAATGCATGAAATGGCAACTTGTTGTCCATTGGGTAGTCTGACATGCATGTTGTGGACTTTCCTGGGACTGGTTAATAGATCCATATGGCACACAATGTGGTGAGTAGCACCACTGTCTAATATCCATACATTCTTATTGTGGCTAGCAGATTCAAGGGAAGAGTTAGTACCTTCCATCTGATTAGCAGAGATAGTATTAGCATGTATATTCAGATCAAGAGGAGTGTTGTTGATTGGAGATCCCTTCTCTCCATGTGACTTCTGGACCTGCACAAATTCCAGAAATTTCTTAAAGTCATCTTGAGTAAAGGATATACCTCCATCAGAGTTTGACTGCTGAATCCCCAATGACCCCTGAGTATTATTCACATGCCCTTGATTCTTTGGTCTTGGTTTCCACCCAGGTGGATAACCATGTTTCTTGTAACACTTATCCTCTGTGTGTCCTGTGAAACCACAGAAGGTGCATATGGCTTTCTTATTTCCTCCTGTGAACTTCTTATAATTCTGTTGTCCATTATTTGTTCTGCTAGCCATAAAAATACTCCCTGCTGCACTATTTTCTCCAGATTGAGACAATTGACTGCCAAAACCAGTGGAAACCATGTTAAACTGCCTCTCCTGCTGTGCTATCATGGAGTAGGCTTCACTGACTTCCGGCAATGGCTTCATCAACATAATTTGGTTTCTTGCACCTGTAAATCTGTCATGAAGTCCAATCAAAAATATGGATAGTTTATCCTTCTCCATCTGATCATTGATCTCATCAATTTTCCTCCCACATTCACACCTATTACCACAATTGCAAAACATGAGCGGTCTGAGTATGTGTAGTTCGTCCCACAATAACTTCTGTTGAGTGAAATACTCATTCAAGGAGCTATCTCCTTGCTTAGATTGATAGATTTCGCATTTGATTTCCGCAATTCGAAACAAATCCTGTTGGCTGAACCTCTTTCTTAGGTCATTCCATACTCCATACGCTGTGTCGATCCAGAGGACACTCCGACCGATCATCGGTGATAAGGATCGAACTAGCCAAGTGACAACCATATTGTTACATCGCTCCCAATAGGGATATCTGCGATCATCTTTAGAAGGTTTAGTGATGGTGCCGTCCACAAAAACGAGCTTATTCTTGCACGACAGCGCCATAGACACAGCCCTAGTCCAAGGATGATAGTTTGGGCCTTCTAATGGTGTGGATACCAGCTCTAAGGCTGGACTTTCATTGGCATGCATGAAATACGGATTCGATTGTGCTTGGGAATCGAGAGATACCTCAGTAGTGTTTGACGCACTCGGAAGAGTTGGAGAAGCAGGTGTTGGCGCCGGACTTCCAATCGCCGGTCCTCCTGTTGTATTATCGATCGGAGTTGTCCGATTGCCGATTGACGGCCACGCTGCCATGGTAGTTCCTCTTCTAAACGGAGACTCCTCACAGGAGCTCTGATACCATGTTGTGAAGTTGGAGCAGAAGGATTGAAGATAAAGAGGAAAAAAAGGGAATTGATTAACTACCAAAAAGGAAGCTCAACATGAGCTTATATACAGAGTACAGAGATAAGAAAGAAGCAGTTATAACTGCCAAAAGCGTCTACTAAAGACGTCTACCAAGCGCGTCTACGAAAGGT